ATACCAGTACCACCGTGAATCTAAGTCCTTTCACTGATCACATAGTCAAAGGTATAGCTTTGCTATCATAGATAGCAGAAATAATAACACGAGATGATAACACGGAAAAGCACATAGTACATATAACACATAACATACAATTGTTCCTATATATTGAACTCACCGTGAATTAATCGGGGGTTAAAATAGTAATTTGTGCAGCACTTCGTTACTATAATTAGCTTTCTTTGATGAAAACCAGGAGTTTTCTTGAAAACCGGGCCTTACGAGGGTGAGCTTCAAACCGAAAAGATAAATTTCTCGGGCTCTTCGGGCACTTCAGAACGTGTTTCGGGTGTTGGGTATGATCCCGAGGCTTCGGGGGAAGTTGGAATGGTAAAAATATGAATTTAGGGGTGAAAGATGAGAATTTTCCAAAATTACCCGGGAGGTCTCCTAACCCCCCCCCCCTTTTATAGGGTGCGAGACCGAAGATCAGCGGTTGAGAGGGCTCCACGCGGCAGCAGATGCGAGGGGTAGGACGCACGTCGGAAGCTCGCAGGCGAGACGTGGCTCGCTTCGGACACGCCACGTATGCGACACGCGTCGGATTTCTACCGGACCACACTTCGGACTCGTCATCTGATCGTACACGGGGCGGGTGACTCACCGAGATCGGACCTTATCCATGCGAGGTTTCTCGGAAATTGTGCCCCGAACTTCTAAAATTCATAACTTTCGCATACGGGCTCTGTTTTTGACGTTCTTTATATGCACGCGTAGGTGAAATTATGCTCTACAACTTTCGTTTAGACTCCGTCGGCTAATTTTGACTTTATTTTTATTATTATATTTTTAGGATGCCGGGACAGGAAAAGTCCGTTAAAAATTCATAACTTCTTCATCCGACGTCCGTTTTCGTCTGTCTTTTTACCGTTGTACTACTATTGACGAGACCTTCGATTCTCGTTTAGGTTGCGTCGGCTAAAAAATCACTTGATCTTTATTTCGAGTTTTTAGCTGTCTACTGCTATTCCGAAACTTAGAAAAATCATAACTTCCTCATACGAAGTCAGATTTGGACGTTCTTTTTATGGAAATTCTCGGTTTAACAAATACTACGACTTTCATTTAGATTACTAAGGCTAAAAAGTAGTTTATCAAAAAATCACTTTTTACATCATTCAGTGTCGTGCCGGTTTTGTCGCGGATCTTCGATTGGTCATAACTTCTTCGTTATAACTCGGATTTCGATGAGGTTTTCGCCTAAATGCTTCTAATGAAATTATCTACAACTTTGAATAATAAAATTTTACTTATTTCAAATTTTATATTTTTGTTAAATTTTGATATTTTAACTTTTAATTGGAATCTCATAAGACTTCCAATATTTTCCGAGTGATTCTAAACATAGTTTTACTTCATTTCTAGTAAAAACTATCTGTTAGAACTCAATACTCAATACCACATAATATTTCATAATATTATTTACTTAAAACACGATTTCAAAACGTGTATGTTACATTTATACCGTCCAAAGCTCCACAATATGCAGGAGATGCAAGATCCGAAGTAAATACACTTTTTCAACCAACAAGCACACCACATTCTTCTCCCAAGATGTATTCCAAGGCTTAAAACTTCAAGAACACCTCATACACATGAAGAACACTCAAATAGGGTTAGGGTTTTCGAGTTATCAGGTTGGAGGTTGAAAAGAATGACCTAAACCTAGAGTTAAGGTCCTTAAATATGGAGGAAACCCTAAACTTCATGGGTTTGGGTTGCAACAGCCTACACGTCGTGGCCATTATGTTGCCACATCATGGTGCCCATCGGGCACGCTCTTCATTTAAACCTCATGGCTACATTGTGGTTATCAACTCACCACATCGTGACATAAGGTTTTCTTCAAATCTTTAAAACCCCCAAATCTTCATCTGATAAATTCAAGAAAAACGGGTGTTACAACTTTGATGTCGAGTAGGTTATAAAATGATGAAATAACTGAAAAGATAGAATAAAAAGTATTTTGGTCACTTCATTCAGACTTGGTGTATGATTTCTAACGAAGTTAGACTAAATAGACCGGTTATTCAAGATATTGAAACCATAAAGACCATCATTGTAAGTAAAGCTTCAACCTCGGAATTTTTTAAATTACCGAGACCATATTTACAATTTTGTATAAATTATGTATAAGATGATAGACTTTGTTTATCTTAAGTTGTTTCTTTTTTGCTTATCAAATCATGCCTATATAAGATAATTGAATAATAAATAAAACTAAAATAATACACACTCTTTGTTAACATGGCTATCAAAATCTAGTTGGTGTTTCAAAATATGTTTTAAAATGATATATCATTAAAACTTTACAGAATCAAAATCATATAATTAATATATGGATTTTATGCAGAAAAATTGTTAAATAATATAAATTAAATACATAATTTACATTACCTCAAAGAGTCAATTTGGCAACAACTTATTACGTATTATCATTTTAACCTTAAAATTAAAAATAAAAATAATAGTATTTTAGATCAAATTTATTAAAGAATCCAAAACCAAATATTACATTTCAAATACATATAACCATACTTTTAGTGCATCCAATGACCGTCTAAGCATATACCATAGATTTTCTTTATAAAATATACACTAAATATCATAAAAGCATAATAACAATATATATTTATCCTATTCATTTAATAGTATTTGTAAAAGGTCAACTTTTATGAGCGATTAGTAAGAGAAAAAGACTGGGGTCCATTTGTACTTTGGTTATATTGAAAGGGTGCTTAAAGAAACATTTTTCCGCCGAACGCCGCCGCACCTGGCACGGGTGCTGCTTGTCGTATTGTCACTGACACGTGTCTGTCGGTTTATTAGTGGGTGATTATTACGTTAATTAACACTACATTACAAATTTGACTCGTTTTTAGATTTTGGTCTTTTTCCCCATATTTAGGGATGTACAAGAAAGAAACATGGTCAGGTCCTTTGACTTTGAAAACTTTATTACTTCCAAATGATAAGAACCTTATTTTGCTAGGGTTTCTTGGTTTATTTGGAAGGCTAAAATAATAAAATATATTGTAACGTAAGATAGAAATTACTATACCAAGAAGATCCTTTTAAAGTGTATCACAGGCTCATGGCTAGGGATGAACGTAGGCAGGTATTCGTTCGGTTCCTAAAATATTGGAACCAGAACCTGCGAGTAGCGGTTACAATACCGGGTACCCGGTTCGTTAAATTTGTTAAATTTTTAAAACTTATAAAAGTATATCTATTATAAACTTACAAGAAGTTATCGATAACATTAATATGTAATTCGCTACGTATAAAATTAGGATTAGAAAATATTAGTAGCTTGAATAACATGATGAAAAAATGTGTGCATATTTCTTAAAACCTTTAAAGGTTCGAAACAAATTACTCAAAATTCTAAAATTTTAAATAATGTTATTCAAGATACCATATAAAGTATGTGATTGTGATATGAATGTATGTGTGTGTGTGTGCGTGTGTGTGTCGGTGGGTATCCCACGGGTAGCGGTTCCGTAAAAATAAGAACCAGAACCGAAACCGCTTAAGGCGGTTCCGAGACGGTTTTGGTTCCGAAAGTAGGTACCCAGTTCCACTGTTCATCCCTACTCATGGTTGTCGTCTACTTAAGATCACCGTACAGATTCTAAATTCGGATTTCATAATGTATTTATCACTTCTTTAATTCAAAATTGAAAATTAGTCCATATAATTGATATCTAAGTGGATTTTTATTATTTGGATAGCTCGGATGACCTTACCAATAACAGAAGTAGATAAAATCTTTTTGTTCCAAAAAAAAAATTAATTTTGCTACTTTGAGAATTAGAATGAACTGAGTGTCGACTAGAGTGAACCTTGTGTATAGAAGTGTTGATGTTCCTTCTATTGTGTCTAGGCCTGTAAACGAACTGAACGTTCGGCGAATCGTTCGTGAACTGTTCGGCAGGAAGTTCGTTTATTTAATAAATGAACGAACATGAACACAAATTCTCGTTCGTTTAGTTAAACGAACGAACATGAACAATGTTCTCGTTCGTTCATTTACGTTTGTGAACGTTCGTTTATGTTGTCATTTACGTTCGTTTATACTCGTTCGTTTAAGTTTTTTTATGTTCATATATTTTCAATTGTTTTTTTTATTACATTACTATATTATAGTTCGTTTATGTTCATATATGTTCAATTGTGTTTGTTTATCTATGTTCGTTTATGTTCGTTTAGCATGTTCACGAACATAAACGAACGAACATGAACAAGACAATTTGTTAAACGAACGAACATGAACAAGAAAACTCCGTTCGTTTATCCGTTCGTGTTCGTTCGATTGTTCGGCTAACTTAAACGAACGAACATAAACAAGCCTTTGTTCGTGTTTGTTCGGTTCGTTTCCAGCCCTAATTGTGTCTGATTTGTTCAACCTGCTTGCACGGAATTGGTTGATCTTTTTAGTTAGTATGGGTGGCAGAAGAACGTGGAGTTTTTGTTCGATTGGTTCGTTAGTAGAAACTGTAAACTCGCAGTCAACGGGGTCATTCAGTCCTAAGTATTTATGCTTAATTGTTTCTCCATTTTCTAGCGTGTAGGTTTAATATATGAAACTTCAGCCACTCTGAAAAGAAATTGTAGTCTATAAGATGCCATCACCTAATAGCCCGATGTGCGTTTGTTTCATGAGCAAGCTCAAAAGATGCCATCGTTGTTATTTCATATATATAAAGTTGAATTACCAGAGTTACTGTTTATACTTTACTAAAAATACAGTCAAATTACTATACATGATGATGTAACTATGTTGTTTTCTTTGGGACACGTGTAAGGTCGTCAATGTTTTCATTACGTTGGTTCATATCCAAACAACCAACGCTACTTTATCACCGACTTGAAAGCTAAAATATTTAGCGAGCCCATTGTTTTCCAGCACGAATGGCAACAACAATAATCTTCTAGTACGTGCATGACGTTAGTCAACTATCACCCACCCATCATCAAAATTCAAAATTCAAAATTCAAAAAGATAATGAATTCAAAACATCTACACTGAAATTTTAGTGTCTTTGTGTTCGTCAGCTTGAACAAACGAACATAACATTTATATCTTCCCATCCATGGATTTAAAAAATATGAACACGTGGATCCGAATAACTGGAATTTATGGCCTTGTTTCTAGGGCTATTTTTTATAATGAAGATGAGAAGGGCATTCACGTCTTTTGCACAAACGAAAGATTATTCCACTTTTTTTGTATGATATAAAATTGTAGTTTTGGTCCCATTTGATATTAGTCTGATGTGATGCAGGTCAAACACATGTTATTGACCTGTCTTGCGTAACAAACACAAACATGGCCTAAACGGTAATAATTCTCATTAACCAAACACAGTACAACATGTTTAGCTTAGAAATCACTCAGTTTTCAAGAGTGTTTGCTTGCTTAACATCTCCAAACAAACCCCAAAAAGAGATGCTTAAGCAATTACAGGAGAGGGCATTCATGTCTTTTGTACATTGTGTTTTTCTTTCTTACCTCTTGTGACGAAACCGTACCTTCAGCAAGAACTGCAGCTTAACCTGTAAAAAAAAAAAAAAAAATACCATAATTTATAACTGCTAATAAATCTTGATTTGTGAATTGTGCACAATTTGACACTCCATTTCATGAATAAAAGGTGTTATGTCTTATGTGTGTAAGATAAACTTACTTGATCGGTGTTGTAGACGATGTACTCATTATACGTCAACTCGGATGCCTTAACATTTGATGATATCGGCTTTCCACATGGCACAACAACATCATCCTTCCACTTAATGTGTTCAGACTCATTAGGGATCTTCTTCCCAAGTCCTTTAGTCGAGTCCTTCCCTTTTGGAGGTTTGTCCATATACTATACATATAAAAGGACAAATAAATAAGTTAATTACTAAAACACAACAATTATTACACATATAATAAGTATAACTGACCTTGGCCTTCTTAAGCTCATACATCTCTCCCAAAGCAACTTCACTTAATAGCATTAAGCCCACCGGATTTTTCTTGTCAGTAAAACAATATTGAGCACTTTTGCTCACCAAATCAGCAAAATAAATCCCTTTTCCAAACTACAAACATAGAAAAAAATTACTTTCTTCATCAATATATAGATTAATATATATATATATATATATATATATATATATATATATATATATACACAGAGAGAGAGAGAGAGAGAGAGAGAGAGAGAGAGAGGGACCATGTAGCCGGTTGCAGGAGCTTCAGGGGGAGCTATTCGCAATCCTTGGCTTAAAATACCAACATAGTTTGTCAAACGAGAACCTATTAAGAACAATAGATTTCATGCAAAAGACATTAATGCCCTTCTCATCTTGCATGATAGATGAAATTAAAAAGAAAAGGTTTGAAGCTACGATACCATGCCAAAGGAGCATCTTGTTCTTGAGTTTATTTTTATATGGAACAAACTTATCAAACTCCCCTTGTCTTTCAACTGTGAAAACTTCTTCCAGTTCAAGTGCCCAATCCTACAATTTACGAAGTACAAACAAGGCCAGCCTTTCAGTATAATGTCCAAAGACAAAAAAGCCCAAGAAACTGCAAGTCAAAAAAAGACACACCGTGTGTGTAGGGGCGTGTGTAGTTTGGAGATACTTCTCAACTAACTGATAATCTTCACTATCATGAGGGAGTGGGACCATTTCACATTGAAGCTTTTTATATTTATCATCGAGTGAATCATCATTGTCCACATCAAACCCTACTAGCCTTGAAGCTATTTCAATATCCTGAAGTGCTTCCAACATTTTGACCTACCAATATAACAAGAATGAATGTCATCATATTGATCCTAACAGATCAATGAATTCTTAAAAATATAAACAAATAGTCACCAGTACCTTTAATTTGAAGTCATCCTCATCCTTGATTACATGTGGATGAACAGAAGGAATGACTGTGAAAAATCGGTTGCTGGCATCAACAATCAAGCTTTCTTTTAGAGGGTTATCAGCTGCCTCTTTCAACAGATTCTGAAGCTCTGTCAGTACTTCAAAACCTTCAAGAAGAACAAACATATTTTTTCTTGTAAAATTAATACAGAAAAGATGTGAGAAGTATAATGACATCATACTGAAATTCATTAGCAATTTTCCTTACCTTTCTGGATATTACTTTTGCTAAGCTTCCCAAGTGGCATCTCCGCCATGTTAATCTCAAACTCCATCATTGCAGCTCTGCAAAGTCCAATATTTATAAAAAAAATATTCCTTTTTTTAAGCATATAGACTAAAAAATGAAGATAGAAATCGTATTAACTTGTATGTTTCCACATTAAACAACATCTTCATCAACTCCTCTAAAGCAGGAGCAAGTTGGCTTTTAGCATCTTTAATTTTGTTCTTCTGATGTGAATCTTTATTCACCCCATAATCCTGCAAGATCAAGCATTCGAGAACTATGAGAATCTTTTAAATCAAAAGACTACAACGAAAGTAAACAGGGACAAGATTGAAAATACAATTTCCAAGGGGTAGAATCGTCCGGGTTGCTTCTGAAGTTTCTTCTGTTCCCACGCCTCCCATGAATTCCCAGTCTTTTCAAGAAACAATCGTTTAAATTCTTGAATTGCATCAGACTTACTCAATTCTTCCAACTTATTTCCTCCAATTTTTTCATTGCCAACTCGACCCCACTTCCGGAACACATAACAGCCTGACCCTTTATCTTCTTCAATGATCTGGAGGATATAATAACTTCATGCAGAAAACTCGTATAAGAACACGAGTGAAAAGGATGATTTATACATAAAGAATACACGTATTTTGTAAGAAACACCTGTTGATGCCAGTTGATAAGTCAGATAAGCTCAAAGTTGTGTTATAAATGCTTTTTCCATGCTCCAAAATATGCCCAGAATCTTGCAAACCAGATGCTTCATGGACTGCACTTCGTCCTTTGACTTTTACAGTCACCATGCTTTTTGACTCTTCAGTGGCTTCAATTTTATACAAATCAAAACGAAGTTTCTTCTGTTTTGAAAAGCAGTCAACCAGATAATCTTCCCTTACTATAGGTACTTTCATCCTCCTGTCAAGCTCAAACCAACACAGATTCAAGAATAAAACTGACAAAACTACCTTTTTTTCTTCTCGTAACCTTTCGATGATTAAACTACACATGAAGGGTATAATAGTAATTTTAATGACAAAACTATGTGATGTGAAACAAAGTACTACCTTGCTTTCTTTATCTCAGCATTCAGATTATCCGGTACTCCACTTACCACCAAGCAGCTTGTGTCTGTCATGTTAGCCATGAACATTCAATAAAGAGAAAAAAAATATATCTTCTTTTTCTAATCTTTATGCAAGAAACACACACCTTTCTTGATTTTTGCATGAAGTTCTCCACCCACACTCTCGATTTTTGTTTTCCACTCATCCTTCAAGGTAGCACTCATTAGAAAGTCGTGTGCTTTAAAACATCTTATGAAAAAAGAAAAAAAATGTATCTAAAATAGTACCATAGTTTTAGATGGAACACCCAAAATACAAACTTTTAGATCCCCTAATTTCTCACTGTGGGCTGACTGAGTCGACCCATTACCAGCTGATTTTCCAGGAGTGCTAGCTGAAGGTGGAGGCATTATCCGAACAGGTTTTTTCACCTTTTGTGTCTTGAACCACTGAACATCATCAATCAAGATAAATGGTGTTAGAATTCGTCTGTGAAATATAACAAAGTGTTGCAGTTGACATGCTTACTAAACTTACCTTCAACAGATACTTATTGTCTGTTTCTTCCGGAATGTTCCACTTTCCTTTGAAACGTTCAGGCTCTGAAGTGGAGTAAGCACACTTGCTCCATTCGGTTAGAAACCCTCTGCATTTGTACATACCTCCAGAATAGTGAAGATGCCCAGAACAAAGTGCACAATTCTCAAGTGCTCCAAAAAGCATCCCATCAGCACTGATCAAAGTAAATGAAAAAAAACATTCAAAAAGTCATAAACTTGTTATTCTACTGCATCCACTGAAAAGATTTGTTATACTTCAAGATACCAATGTCACTGACCAAAACCATGCAAGATAATACATGGGTTTTAATCATAAAAACAATTAGATAGGTTATTTGCATTAAAGATTTGGGCCACAAAAGAAAAGTTTTAAACTTTATTGTTTTTGATAGCTAAAAAAAAAGTTGAAATGAAAAGAATTTACCAGCGGTCACGCAGTTCATGTTCTGGTCCAGATGAATCTTGATTATTAGCTTCCAGCATTTCACGCATCTCTGAAGTTGTTACATGTTTTTTAAGATCATCTTTAAGAGCCCATAATTCTTTTGTTTGGGCCTCTAGTAGACTATGATCCACTAAATTGTTGCTGCTTTTTGATGTTTTTGGTGTCAAAGGGTCATCTTCAGTCTTGGCTATCTTTGACTTTTGATCACGGTCAACGGCTCCTTTACGTTTAGAGCCACCTTTTACAGTCTCTTTCTCCTCCTTCACTTCACCTTTTCCTTAAAGAACAAGTGTAGATAGTCATACAAGAGCATAAGAACATTCGACTTTACCAAATTAGAAAATAGAAATGAAGTGAAAGTATGTTGCCATTGATTGCAATTTGTAAAAATCTGACACTACCTTTTTTGGTGGCTGAAACCTCCTTCTTGACCATTGAAAGAACGGTTGACTTATCAGAATCTGATAGGCTTTCCCACCCAACCATTTTTTCAAGTTGAGTATTTGGAGAAGAGTCCATGAAACATTTAGCATGATGCCATGCTAAGCCTCTAGCACCTTGACCTTCTGGCTTACTAGATATACGAACCTACCCATAAAAAAAATTAAAAAAGAAACTTTTATAACCATAAAGAAATTCGGTTATCATTAGTTCATTCTGAGGTAAAAACAAGTACCCATAACCCACCTCTCCTGTCATGATCTTTTCATTGCATATTTTACAAGTAGCACGAGCAGTTTTTGAAGCTTCAATTGTGCATTTTGTAACATCAGGAGGAGGAGGAGGAGCAGATGAACTTTGGGATTGGGATTGGGACCCAATGCCACCACCTTCAACATACTGTCTTATCTTCTGTTGATCTTCCCAACGAAGTGTTTCAATGCCTTCCACATCATCACAACTAGAAATACAACCAAAATGTGAAAATACTTGTTTTAAAATTTAGAAAAATACGTTCAAGAAAGTATTTATCTTGGAAAAAACGATGACAACACGTACGATTTTATTTGTTTCGCCTTCTTTAATATGCAAGTAGCATGATTCCACATCTGTTCAAGAGACATACATAATTAAGCATTTTTTTACAATACTTTATAAAAGATTACATGTGTATATGATGGACCCATCTTGCAAAACCAACAAAGTGATTGTTTTTAATAGAATAACAGCAAAAGGGGTGAAAAGAAACTCACATAGTTGGATACACCTTAAAAGAGCCCTACAACACTACTAAAACAGTGAATAACATATCTAACCATTGTATTTTGTGCATGATAAGTAATCATTAGATGTTCAAGATTTTAATGTGCGTTTAAACTCAATATCAGATACGATTGTTTGGCAAAAAGTAATTAGCTGCACTCCATTCAATTAGTTGCACTTGGTCATCAAGAGGGTTATTTATTTTCTTTGGATTAAATATATTTGACCACAAATTGTTAAATGGTATTCAATTTTATAAGAAGTGTCCCTCATGGAACAATGTTGATGTTAACTTTACTGAAAAATTGATATCAGGTGCACATTTGTCATTATTGCAAAGAGAAGCAAACCCCGAAATAGCAGGACGTACAAGACTGTAGTAACAATATAGGAAGAAAAAAAAATTACCATTACACTTTGAACCAGAGGAAATCAAAAAACCTAAATGGGAAGATCAAGTTACACTTTGACTTTGGATGTAAAAAGGGCAACTTCATTACTTATAAATATAATACTTTGAAGATAAACTGCTAAGTGGTATTCAACTTTATAACAAATGTCACTCATGGAACAATGTTGATGTTGACTTTAGAAACTTCATATCAAGTTTAGGTTTGACATGAAAATCGAAGTGAAGTTTCTTGAAACGGACAAGAACTTGGCTAATATTTCGAAGAGAAGAAAAGCCCTAAAATAACAGAACCTGAACAAGCCTATATTGAAACAACCACATTTACCATTAGACATTTGAAACAATAAAAATCAAGAAATCTAAAATATGGAAAAGATTAAGCAAGAAACGGTAGGAGAGTATTAGGAAGTTTTTTTATGGGAAACGAGGTGAGGAGGAGTGATTACGGGCATGAAACCGTCGAATTGAGTGGCTTGAACCATTTTGCCAAGACGGAGTTTTTCTTGGGCAATAGGAGTCTTGCAGGTTTTACATGAAGATCTTCCCGATTTTGCATATTCAGCTTTCCATGGCTTCGGGGGAGTCGCCATTTTCCCTCTTTTCCTTCACTGTGTCTTCCTACCCTCGCTCGTAGGAACAAACGAACAACGACAGTGGCACTAATCAATGAAATGTGCTTTTCGCCAAAAAGAAAACATACCCTTTCGAGCGACGCACCCGTGTGATCATTGTTGTTTTCTTTTTCTTTTTTTTTAATTGGATTTATAGTTTTTTAGGTCAAAACTATAACACATTCTATTCAAAAAAAGCAATAAGGGTTTCTTTGCGATTGTTAATTTAAAAAGATTTGTTTTTTAGAAAGAGTTTATTTTTCTTTACGGTACCACAACAAAAGTCCATAAAACTTTTTGGATTAGCAAATGGGTATCAGTTTTACTTTGAAAAAAATGACAGTAAAAGGTTATTGGTTAAATGTTGTGATGGTGAATGCACATTTAGGCTCTAGATGTGATGGATGAGTGAAGAGCACTCATTCCAAATCAAGTTCCTTATCAATGACCATAATTGTGCAAGAAATTTTAAGTTAGAGTCAATTGTTAATTATAGATGGATTGGTAGTCATTTCACCAGGGAAGTTCTTGAGAATCAGAAATTCAATGTTAAGATGCTAAAAGAGGAAGTAAAGATTAAATTTGGCATAGAGGTTAGTATGGGACAATGTAGGAGAGCTAAGCAACATGCAGTGCCTCTTGTTGAAGGTACCATAGTGGAAAATTATGCAAAGTTGTGGTCCTATGGTGAGGAGATAAAAAGGTCTAATCCAGGGTCAAAAGTCAAGTTATTTGTAAACACTATGCCAGATGGGAAAACTTACTTTATCAGGATATATATATATATGTTTTCATGTACTAAAGGAGGGTTGGAGAAGTGGCTGTAGAGGGATAATAAACTTAGATGGGTGTTTTTCTAAAAGGAATATGTACTGGTCAGTTATTATGTGTTGTTGGTAGAGATGGAAACAATCATATATACCCAATAGTTTGGAATGTAGTTTGTGTTGAAAATAAAGACAACTGGAAATGGTTCTTAGAAAACATGCAAGAAGATCTGCATCTTGAAGGTGGGTTTGGTAAGACATTGATTTCAGATCAACATAAGGTATGTTTGTCTTCAAAATGTCATGGCTTATTTGTTTCAAATGTGATCTACTTCTAAATGTTCTGATGATGTACATGCAGGGGATAATTGAAGCAGTGAAGGATTTATTCCCAGAGATAGAACATAGGCAATGTGCCAGACATGTTCTTTCCAACTTCAAGAAGAAATTCCATGGGGCTCAATATGAGAAATTATTTTGGAAGGCTTGTAAGGCATCAACTGAACCTATTTTCAATTCTACAATGAAATAGATTCAAATGATTAGCCCTGCTGCTTATGTGCATCTTATATGTAACATCCCAATTTTCAAGACCAAAAATTTTGTTTTTAATTAAGTAACTTATAATATTATTCACTGAAAAACATCATCGAATCATATCAATTCATAAAACCATAATCATATGTCTCACATATCATCAAACTAGTAATAATGTCAGAGTCAATCCCATGGTTCTCAAAAATGCGGAAATCATAGTGTCGATGCGCTTGCTAACCGTGTCGGTCCTCCCCTTCGATGAAGAGGTACCTGAAACACAAACTGAAAACTGTAAGCACGAAGCTTTAGTGAGTTCCCTCATCATACCACATACCATAAACACTACTGCTCAATCCCTCGGTATCTTTCAACGGTATTGAATGGCATAATCGGAAGTTGACTTCCCTTCGGTATCTTTCAATCGGTAGCCGGGAGGATGGCCTCCCCTTCGGTATCTTTCAACCGGTAACCGGGAAATGATCTCCACTTCGGTATTTCAAACCGGGAACAGAGCTGACCTCCCCTTCAGTATCTTTCACCCGATAACCGGGGAATTTCACCCCTACAGTCCTATAATAACATATCATGATCATCTGTTAGGCATGCATGGGTGTTGTCTACCCTTCGGTATCTTTCAACCGGTATTTGGGGGCTATTCCACCCCACCTACTACTAACACATATAACAGAGACGATAGCACATAAAGCATAAGATGTGGCAACCCAGACAATGTATCACAAAGACAATATCTAATCAAACAACTCCTACTAGCGAGCCGGCATTGTGGCCGTTATTAGACACACTCCTACTGAAGGTAACTCACCTCGTGACGTGAGTGTCTTGAAAACTGTCCTCGTGCTGGGATCAATCCTCTCGACTTTACACATAACAACCTTCTTAATTACCATTTCATATATTAACCCTTCAAGGGTCAACTTAAGTAAATTCAAAGTCGAGGTCAACACCTGTCTTAAAGCAACTTTTGGTTAAGTCAAACATCGTTTGGACTCAACTCGCCGGTTGCTCCACCAACTCGTCGAGTTCTATAATCCACTAACATACTAGAACTTCGCTCCTACTCGTCGAGTCTTTCAAGAACTCGTCGAGTTCTCCTTCATGCGAAATCGGGACCTTTAGCCAATGACTCGCCAAATTTTCCGTTAACTTATATTTATCTAAATAATTCATTTCTGAATTATTATTAGAATATATTTATTGACGGGATAAAAACAACTAAGTCGGGTTACGGTTAGTTTACCCGGTAAAAACATTTAGCTCCGTTTAAACGACAGTGTATGGTGGGTCCCCACTAGGCAGCCATATATAAAGGAGGAGTGTCCACCTTTAGAGCCTTTTCCCCACCTTGGAGCTTTCTCTCTCTACTTTCTCTCTCTAAAATCGGGTTTGGCTCAAGAACACCACTTTCAAGCCTCAAAAATCAAAGGTAATCTTCCTAACTTGTTGTTTAACTTAGTATTCATGCCATCTCAAGTTTGAATCATCCAAATACCTCAACATGCATGTGTTTACGGTTTGGGGAGCCTCCCAAAACCGTGAACTCCTATATGAGGGTTTTGAAGCCCCAAAACACTTCCAAACCTTCTCTAATGCTTAGATATAGCTTAGATACTTGCATGCATGAACTAAGGAACCCAAAATCATGACTTTTTGGCCATAAACTTGAGTTTACGGTTCTTGAACATTCAAGAACCGTAAACCCAAAACCGTAAACACCTCAAATGGTGTTTTGATGCCCCTAAACCCTTCCTTAGCTTGTTTGATGAACTCGAAACTAGTGTAGATGAGCTTAGGACCCCAAAACATGAAATGGTTGAAGTGGTCAAGGGTTTACGGCCGTAAACCCTAGAGTTTACGACCGTAAACTCCCAAGGAGTGGTCCAAGGACCGTAAACTCCAAGGGAGTACCCAATTGAACCCTAATCACTTCCCAAGCCCTCGAATTGATCCTAGGAGCCTTCCTTGTGATGCATGAGACCTTTAGACACACAAACTCACCATTTCCATGAGTTTACGGCCGTAAACTCATGGGGGAAATGGTCTCCCAACCGTAAACACACTTAAGTGTGGCAAAGTGAAGTGTAAACTCCATAGTGAGGCCATACACTCCTTAGATGCAACCTTTAGCACTCCTAACACTTGAAACAAAGTGTTTTCATACATTAAAGTGCCTTTACTCACTTAATTAGTGATTACACAACTAATTAGATACTTTATACATCACTACATGTTACATAGGATCCGTGTGTGTGTTCAAGTCCTCACTTGACACCTAGCATCCTACCCGGCGTTTCCATCCACTTCACTCACTACAGGTGAGTTCATACCCCTAAATGAACCTTTTTAAATGTTTTTAACTGTTTTATGGGGGGGAATACAAGTTGAACCAAATAAGTTATAGTGAATTATAACTTGCAACCAAAAGGATTTTCTACACTATTAACTGTTTTTACCACCAAAAAGGGATTTTCTATACTTTCAACTATATTGCCAATTAAACTGTTTTCAAATGCTTACCAAATTCATTTTCGTGTAAATCACTATAAAACTATTTTCCAAAATTCGTTTAAACTATTTTTATTCCCAAACCATATCTACACCAATATATTTATATAAGTAAGACTTGAAGGACTTAGGACTAATAACTCACCTTACTTCCTGTTCTTGTTTGATTGTGGGCTTAGGGTATTTTGTTATTAGTCCGACTCTCGTTGAATTCTTAGTTATATATCTCATATATTTGTGTCAGATATAAAAGTTTTCATATCAGTTCAATGCCTTTGGATATCAAAGACATGCAACCAACAATACTATTTAACTATAATAGGTATAGTTAAGGGATACTACTCACTACTACTATTGCCATGACAACTACTAGAGTCAGTTCAGTTGTGAGTCAATATATGCTATGTACTATACAAGAGAACACTATATACTATACAAGAGAACACTATATACTATACGAGGAGAACATTATGTACTATACAAAGAGAACACTACATACTATACAAGAGAACTTACTAAAATAGAATGTGACATACTATTTCTCGATACGACACATCTTTGTGCTATCACCGCGTAACCAGAGTCTCCTGGAGGGAGAGCGGGCATTATGTGTATAGATCTATACGGGACAGACACTCCCACATCCCGACTGCTAGCTACAGTCCGAGCCGTCTAGGCCCAGGGGTGACAAAATGTCACATCACTACATATGACTCGGAGGGTCAAAGGGATTCGATCGTCAATCAGCATGGTTACGTACGAGTTCACATTCAAACCTTTAATTAATACTTTAAGAATTAAAGGCAACAGACTCCCTGAGGAGTATTGTACATTTAATACTACCTGGAGCCTGCATTTCATTACATATGGCCGACAGTGATACTGTTGGGGTAAAACATTTTTCTCATTACTATACATGAATAAAGTCTAAAACTATATTTTCAAACTAATAACTACTGGGAAAACTTGTACATTATCAAAGGAACAAACAAACCATCGGGTCTTGGTGAAGACTACTTTTTCTGGAAAACATAGGGTTTTCTAGGGCTCATACTATTTTCGAACACCGAAACTTTCTTTTACAATGTATAATTGTGAATATTTTATACAGGAAATGACACTAAATACTTATGAACTCACCAGCTTTATGCTGATAAACGTTTTCAAAATAACTTGTATTCTCAGGTCATCAGTAGACAGGTACGGATGCAGCTTTTGAGAAGACGGAGCACACATAAGACTCCACTTTATTTTGATTGTATTTTTGGTGTCTAACATTTGTACTGAAC